GCGTGGTCGGCTTCAGCGACGGACGAGAGCATCCTCAGAATTGTTTTCGCGCCACCGACCAAACGCAAACGCCATTATTGGCGACGATGGCCTCGTCCGTGCTCCGGTCGCCCGAACTCATGGAGACCATCGTGTCGTACCAAGAAGGACTACCGCAAGACTTGGTGGTCATCCAGCGCCTCGCCGACGCCGTCGCGCTCACACCGTGCCGGCTATTCACGAGCGACGACGAACCAGGATACCTTGCCAACGTCCCAGTCCGGTTTGGGTCGCTACCGTACCTTCAGCGCTACCCCCACCCAACGACCAAGCTTCCTCATCACGCGCTCTTTGTCTCGCCATACTTCTACGACCGAGCCCTTGCGCTCCACCTCTCGGTTGTCGAAGGTGACGTGGCCCTCGTTCAACGCTGGCTGCGATGGGATGCCTCACTGTGTACGTCGGCGACGCTGGAGCTTGCTGCTGCTGCGTCTCAAGGTCCGATTCTGCGTCTTCTTTTCGAGCAGTTTCCAGCGCTGGCCACACCCAAGATGATGGACCTTGTCGCCATGTCAGGTGACCTCGAGCTTTTGATGTGGCTTCATGAAGCGGGTGCTATATGCTCGACTGCCGCGATGGACGGCGCGGCCATGAACGGTCACTACGACAGTGTCGTCTTCCTGCACTCTGCAAGGACCGAGGGCTGCACGATCGAGGCGGCAAATGGAGCAGCCGTCAATGGCCACGCGTCGATCGCTCGCTTTCTTCTCGAGCAGCGCACCGAAGGCGTCAACCCATCGCTCTGGTTTAAACCCCCGCATCGCGAGCACTTGACGCACAGTGTACGTGGCGAGTCGCACATTGAGGCCGTCGACCTCGTCGCAGCGACCGTCGCGTTGACGGAAGTGGCGCTCGCAGTCGTCGTGGAGAACGCGGATCTGGTGGTGATGCAGCACGTCTACGCGCGTGGGTACCTCAAACGAATGACCAAGCGACTGCTCGAGCTGGCCGTGTTCAACCAAGACCACGCGATGCTGCGCTACGTCCTCGCCTGCGTCGATCAAGAGAATCCACGTCCCCCCAGCGATGACGAGTGGCTGCCACACGACGTTGGCAGGTGCTTTTGGTTTGACAGATGGGACAATTGCCAAGTGATGGAAGCTGCGGCCTTCAACGGCGACATGACGTCGCTCGAGCTCTTGCACAAGAGCCGCCTTCGCGTCGGGTCGGAGCGAGCCATCGTCTACGCGGCCTACGGCGGTCACATGCACGTGCTCGACTGGCTGCTCAAGTACCGAAATGACGGCTGTGCCGACGACGCGATGGCTCTTGCTGCTGCTGCCGGCCATTTTGACGTTGTGCGCTGGCTCCACGAGGTCTACGGTCTATGGCGAACCAACACAGCCTTGGCCACGGCAGCCTACATTGGCCACATGGCGATGGTGACGTACCTCTTGAGCGTACCGACAGGTGGCGTCGACAATCAGAGTGACAGAGCCGACGGATTCAGCACCAATACAGCGATCTTGCCGACGCAAGAGGGCTACCCGTATCACGCCTCCAATAAGTACGCCGTAGGCTCTGCGGTGTCGGCGGCAGCAAGCCAGGGCCACTTCGACATTCTCAAATTGCTCGTCGCGCGTGGCCATCAAGTACAGCCGACTGCCATCAACGAAGCCGTGTCGAATGGTCACCTGACCGTCGTGCGCTACCTCCACGAGAGCTTCGGCCAGCACTGCAGCTTGCAATCCCTCTTGGCTGCCTTTTGGGATCGCCACATCGATACCATGACGTACGTGCTCTCGCATCGCTGCTGGCAAGTCGAGCCCAACATGCGCACCGACCAGGGGTTCGACCGGATGATGCACAGTCTGTTCTTGGCCGCGGCGCACAGTGGCAGCCTTACCATCTTGCAGCTCGTTTGCGACGCGCTCCAACTACAAGAGCCGACAACCCGACTGACGCAGCTGCCACGCCACGTCTCGGAGCGCATGATGCTCCGCGCGGCAGCCCATGGCCACCTCGATATGCTCCGGCATTTGCACGACGTCTTTGGCTTCGCATGGACAGAAATGGTGCAGGCTGTAGCCTATCGTCACAACCGCAAGAATGTACGGCGCTACTTGAGCTCGCTCGGATTCGTCACGTTCGAGGTTGGCGACTCTCGTTTGCGGCTCGAGGAATATAATTCGACTTTTCTGCTGTACTTGCGTTGTTGGACCCGAGACCGAGTTGCGTTGCGATTGTGTATGAGCTCCCGCGAGCGAAGGGTTGCGACGGCCTTGGTACACGCTTTGCGGCACACTCGGCATGGTGTCATACTGACAGACCTCGTCCTACTGTCCGTCAGAAACGGGCAAAGACAGGTTGTGGACATTGTGGACAGGCGCGTGGACACGCTGGCGCGCGTTTTCATTGGACACAATATCCGGATACGAGACAGACTGACACGCCACATTGCCATTCCGCAACATGCCCAAGCCATCCCTCACGACGGTAGCCGTGGCCGTCGCCTTTGTCGCCGTCGCCGCCTACGGCGCCTGCATCGCTGCCCTCGCAGGCTCCATGTACGCTGAGCTCCTCGCTCTGCCAGATGCGATCTTGATCGTGACGAGCGTCATCGCCACCATCGTTGCCGCCATCGGTCTCGTGCATCTCGTGTCGACGCGGGGCAACCCGTCGTACTCGGTGTGCCTCTGCCTTTTGTTTGTGGTCATGGTTTGCTGCTGCACACTCTTGGCCTACGCCATCAAAGCCATTTCACTCAACACCAACGCGATCGAGACCGCGCCGATGCTCACGACGTATCAGCACCTCATGGAGGCGTACTACGCCTCGGAGAAGGCCCGCAAGTTCGAGTACGTTCAAACCCTCAGTGACTGGTCGCGCTGGTCAAAGCTTTTCAGCGACGAATACCCGAGAAAGGCGGCGAATGCGTTTACGGATGCGTACTGCGTGAGTCAAGGCCACCGCTTCTGCGGCGCCTTGCCACTCGTGCAGACCATTTTGTTCCCAGGCGTGTGGCCCCAGCCAAACGTAACGGCCGAGATTGCGCGCACTTTCTCGACGCTTCCGGCAACGTTCCTCAACGTCACAGTGACATCGTCGACGACCATCAACAGTTTCTGCGCCGCTGTCAACCAGACGAGCCTGCTCCACAACGAGTCGATGCTCGGTCCAGTGGCCATCCAGCGAGCAAGTGATTTCAAAAGTGATCTCTCCAATCTTTGCCGCGGTTGCGCCGCGCTCTCCAGCTTTAGCCCGGTCAAATCCAATGGCCTCGAGCGCTGGATTCATTCTACTGCGTCCTCACGACCGACTGCATTGGAAAGAAGAACCAGATCGGAAGGTCTAGTTCGTGTTCGAGTACCGCGCTCTCCTACTATTCGTCGTCGTACTTGAACCCGTCGTTCGATGCATGCTTTGGCCATGCGCTCATGTCGGGTGCGCGTCCATATATTCTGACGACCGCGATCGCCTCGGGCGCCGTCACCGCCCTCTTGCTGCTCCTCAGTGCGCGTCTTTGGGTGCTACGCCGCGTTGTGCAAGCCCGTTTAGCGATGGCGGGGGCCGTCGTTCACACACCAGTGGACTCAGCTTAACTGCAACAGAGTACAAATTGTAAGCTTATGTGTTCATAGTGTCGGCTTGAACCGGAAGACGTCGCAAGAATTGCATGCGACGCATTGATGCTGCAGTGGACGCAATTTCTCCTATTTTCCCCCTATGTCCATGCTCTCGAGGACCTCAACAAACTACGTAGCTTTGCTGCCGATCGCAAAGCCTGTACACAGCTTGTCGTCATGGGCCTCACCCGCAGCCACAAGCGTCGTAGGGCGACGACAGAAGAGCCAGACGAGCCCCCGCGCCGCCGCCTGCGCAGCCACGGCCCGGCGAGCGCATGAAAAAGAGGGCGATTGCTAGTCTCTACGTATGCGAAGTCTTTATAACAACGAAATAACGCGAAACACGTTCATATAATATGCCAATGCTCGAGTACTTGTGTGGTTTCTTGCGTTGACCAAGAACACTGTGGGTCGGGATGTCAAAGGACTGCACAATTCCAAGCTCCACATTTACGACATGCTTCGCGGTCTTGCGTGCAGCTAGATACGTCGATTCTACGTGTCTTAATCAATAGCTTCGTCATTGCTGTTCTCTCGACTGCGCTTGCGCTCACCACCTCGCACTCCGCGCTCCGTAACTAGTCATCTTCATATGACCCAAATCGCTTCAGGCAAACCAGATCGTACCGTCAAAGCGCACACTGGCTTGCGCGAGCGACGTCGACTTTACGACCTGCGCGACCCGCACTTGGTGCTACGTTGCATCAAATATTATGACCCACCGTCGTCATCATCGTACCTCCCAGCGTAGCATGATGCGATTCGTAATCGAAAACGACCACGACTCTCCTACACCAATCTCTCAGCTGCCACTACGTTGAAATAAAGTAGAATGTACCGAGCGCCGGCACGATGTTGGAGCCGTCGATGTCGGATCCGTGGTGAAGCGACGTTGTCACATGGTTGATCAAGACCACCTACGAGGTCATTTGCCTTGTCATCTTGGTTCTTATAGGCACATACAGCAACCGGAAAGTCCTGCACGAGCTTCCGGAGCACGAGGGACATGTTGTGCAGCATTCGCGCTCGCCCCGTCATATCGTCAAAGCCGTGCCGACAGTGAAATGCAATGCTGTCGACAAGGACCACGCGGATCTATACAAGCTGGTTGAACTCTCTGCGCATTCCCGTTGTCGTACTGATGGCGTGGTCGCCAGGACGTTGACAAGCGACGCGAGGACTTCGTACTGCTCTTGGAAGTCGTGGACGCGGTAGTACGTCAAGCCCCGAAGCAGGCCATCGCGGTCCTATCTCGACTGTTGGTCTCGTTGGTAGAATACAGCAAGGGCACCAGTGGCTGCAACTCGGGCACATCGTCGGCAAGGCATGCCGCCATGGCCGCTGCGCGATGGATCATAAAGCTACCTTCCGAGTCTATAGCCGAGTATGAGGATCAGGATGAGACTTGTAGCGTACCAATGTAGATGCTCTGGAAGCGCGACCCGTCGGCGGCGGGGCACTGCGCGCCAAGAGCAATCTGGATACTACGCATGGTCGCATGAGCGTCGAGAGCGACTGTAGGCATTCGTATACGCGAGCTGCGTCTTCCCGACACCCGGTGTACCACCTAGGACAGCCGTTAAGGCCGCGGTGCTTTAGGAGCGACTACAGATTTCGGTGATTTCGCCGATGGGGATGCCGCCGCCGAGCACATCGTCGAGCCCTGGCACAAACGTTCGTATCGGTGGGTAGGCGTCGAGTTGCTACACGCAGATACAGGCTCGTTGTTGTTGGCTACGACGTGTTGAAGCGGCTCACCGCCAAGACGTCAAAGGCCGAGAGCCCGAGGGTCGCACCGCGTGGGCCCTTGATGGCTGTGAGCACGAACGACGCCTCTTGAAAGGAAATCTTGGCCACTAGCCAAGGGCCATGAGCGCGTCGTCCAATGGGCAAGGCAGACGTACCGTTGGCGAGCTCGCGCGAGCTAAAAGCTTCGACGGCCTTGGTCGAGTCGAAGCCCGCTCTCCGTAGCGCAGCTGCCAGCACATAACCCTATGTGGTGAGTCGGCTGGGTATAGACGAAGTGGCGTACCCATCACGGACGGCGCAAGCCCGAGCGCGTCAAAGCTATGGTCCGCTGCCATGCTCCAGCGTCTCCAGCCGGATCCGTGGGAAGCTTAAAAACGTTTTACACTAAATACAAGTACCGATATAACACTAATTGCAGAGTTTGCATATAGTGTATATTACATTTCCCGCCATTTCGGCTTTTCAGCGCGCAGCCATTGGCGTCATGTCACAATACGGGACGCTTACCCGA